CTATTTGTTTCTTCGGTTCGGTCTTATGCGTAATTTCTCGATATGCTTCTGTTCTATGGTCTGATTGCCCTTTTCCTCTCCATTTTGATTGTTTTCCTGAGCATGGGCTTTTTAGTCCTTTCGCGCCCTAATGTTGTGGTTGTACGTTTATACTCTCAGGTTTTTGTTTCCCTTTTTGTTTTAAGTCGTAGTTTTTGGACAATTCCATATTTTACTCCAGCCGTATATTTGGTATTATATGGAGACATTATATTGTATGCGGCGGATATAATACCTTATTAATTTTTGTGCTTCTACGTAGTTACCATTCATTTTATGAACAACATTTCAATAGGCAACCACAAGATAGTTATAATTACAAGTTAATTATATATGTCGCATATTACTGAAAATATTGAATATCTCAACCATAATTACTATATAAAAATATTACTATAAAATACTTACTTATATATTCACTTATTTACCTTTTTTCTCGATTTTTTCACTTCTTTCTCTTCCTATAAAATCCATATATTCAGCTTTTGTTGTGGAGAACTTTTAATTCGTTTGTTCATCCGTGAAGGAAGCAGCCGTAGCACATGAAGCTTTATGTTTATTTCTCTGTTTGTATATAAATTTCATTTGTGTATTTTTCCTTTCTCATTAATCTATGGTTTATGTACTCAGCATTCTTAATTTCAGATCTCTACCATAATAAATATATAATCATAGTTACAAATATGTAATGCAATAAATCTAATAGTCAAATTAGTTACTAAGAGACTCTTACATATATCAACATTTTTAATACAAACAACAATAAAATGAGTTGAATGTTATTACAAAATTAGTTGCCTAACTATTTATTACCAATTCTAATATATCACACTTCAATACGAAAAGATTACTTAGGCAAGCAAATTTGCTTCTTCTTTTAAGTTGCTGAAATAAGCTTATATTGTAATCAACATATGGATAAGAAAAAAAAAAACACAAAAAAATGACAGCGGTCAAATCAGCATATTCGTCGTATCATTTCACAAAAGGACCCGGAATTTATCAATACAAATAATGAGCATCTGATTCAAACGAATGAAAATGTTGAGCTTGCCTCAGTACGGATCTCTCGATCCAGACTTAGCATGATGCTGAAATTTTTCCTAAAAAATCAACCGCAAGGCAAGACATAATTATTAATTTATATCAATTATGTATAAAAATAATATTTATTATTTTAAACACATATCTAAATAATATTTTACCATTTTAGCTATCAATCAAAGACAACAGATATTCAATGTCCAACACCACCGCCACAAATATCAACTCCCACCACAATAGATCCACAAACACCAGACCCAAAAAAATCAAGCACAAGGTAAGACATATTTACTAATTTAGATCATTTATCAAACAAAAAAAAAACAAAATTTACAACTTTAAATACATATCTGAACAATCTTTCATCATTTCAATTCTTAATCAAAGACAGTAGAACAATTCAGAAAATGTCCTAGAACTAGGTAATATAACTATTTCTAAATCTTTTAATTTATACTAACTATAATCAAAGATTTTAAACTTCTTTAATTACTAATTACTATTTTTTTTTATAAATTTATATTTTGCAGTTAAGAAAAACAAAAGAAAGAAACAAAACAACAACTATATTTCATTATAAGAAACTTTGAACCAGAATACTATATATAGATATATATATACATATGAATGTATTTTGAATCAGAGTACTATATATATATATATGTGTGTGAATGTATATATAAACTAATTCTATATTATAAAAATCCTTAGTTTTTTTGTATAATATAACAATATTATCCGTAGCAACACGCAGCTTCTTAGCTTGTATTTATCTAATACAAATTACCACTTGCCAGGCTTGTCCATTAAAAAAAAATAAAATAAAATAAGAGGTTTGTTAGGTGGAGTACTAAATTTTATTTTAGCATATTTTTGTCCAATAAACTTTTGTATTTTCGTTTCTATAATCTTTTGTTACTTATTCCATGTCTGATGGGGTAAACGTAAAACGTGTACTGGTTCTAACTTGTGATTTGCTCTTTGTAGTGAAGTTAACTCACTGCCAAAAGCCGAGGAGTGGGGATGTCTTTTTAATAATTTAACTAGCCAAGGAGTGGGGGAATAAAAGCTCTAGTTAATTATTAGGATTAATTACAAAAATTTATCTTGAATTATATCATTTATAACACTTTATTTTATGAGCTTTAAAACGTAACATTTGTTCCCCCTTGACAATGAAATGTTAACAACAAAATCCCTCCGCTAAGTTGTTAACTAAAAAATAACATTTAATTTGCTATTTTGAGTTTATTTTGATAATTTTGTGGTTTAAAAATTAATTTGAATTTAAACTAATTTAAGTATTAAAAAAACCATATAAATTTTTTTATTCTACTAAAAAAATTTATAAAATTTTTAACTTACATTTAATCAATAATTGATGTATCATAATTAAAAATTTAAATTTAAATTAGTTTTAAATTGAAACTAAATTTTAAATCATGGAGCTACCAAAATAACAATTACCTGTCAATTTCTCTTAAAAAAAACCTAACGGAGGGGGCTTTTTTATTAATATTTCATATTATGTTTTAAAAATTAGAAGGTAAAGTGTTACAAAGAGTATAATTTAAAAAAAGTTTTTGTAATTAATCCTAACTATTATGCAACCAAGAACCACATTAACCAAATCACTTTTCAATTTTAGATTAAAATCTTGAAAGAGACGCTTAATTAGGGATGATATTCTTATCCGTGGGTACGAGTACTCGTGTTTATCTGTGCTAAACAGTATAGCTATGAGACAAAAATTAACCCCTGATTTGAGAACCACATTAACCAAATCACTTTTCAATTTTAGATTAAAATCTTGAAAGAGACGCTTAATTAGGGATGATATTCTTATCCGTGGGTACGAGTACTCGTGCTTATCTGTGCTTAACAGTGTAGCTATGAGGCAAAAATTAACCCCTGATTTGAGGGCGGGCGGGGTTCAATGTGGAAAAAGCTTCCCAGTCCCCGTCCTCACCCCGATTACATTATACTCTTACATATATTCGAGTTTGGATTTAGTTTTTACATTTCGGTTTGTTATTGTTAGAGTTTAAATTTGACATTAGAATTTCAATTTATTTTTATGACATATTAGTAATTATGCCGTTTAAAATTTTAATTAATTTAATAGCTTTTTCTTTTTAAGTTTGATAATATTGCAAGCATTTTTTAAACTCTGAATGAATATATGAATAAGGTATGGGCATAGCTCCCGACCCCAATCCCGCCTTAAAATAGACGAGTACGGAGGTGGGTAATGGAACAAAACAGGAGTAGAGTATTGGGGTGGGGGAAGCGTACCCGCCCCTTCCCCGCCTCGTAACCCTCATGGAAACGGATATTTAAAAAATAAATTAATAAATAAATAAAAATAAAAACAAAAACTTGATTTTGCTGACATTATCTTCATTTTCTGATGATTTTATAGAAGAGAGACTAAGGAAAGGAAAAGTTCCAGAACGAATAGTTTGAATGAGTAAAAAATTGTTATCAGCCAAAAGTAATAGCCAACCCTACTAGTTCCTATTTAAAAAGAAAAGAACTTCTAACTCGTACCAAAAATAGTTCTGAATCATGATTCTGAATCCATGAATCAAACATCTACGAAGTTTTCACTTGATCTCAACCAAAGGACTCTGGATAAGGGTAGACTATTATAACCAAATCCCCTATAAAAATACACACATATTATATTCCACCTTAAATATAATGTCAAATCCAAAACTATTGTCCTCCTGCTATGAGAAAAGGATGAAGCTTCTTTACCCCTTTAGTTGTGGACACCATCATTTCAAGGAACCCAATATGACAGTTATAAATGTTTAGATGTTCATCAAGTTTCTTCATACATACATGTGTGTGTGTGTATAAATATTATCCTTTTTCATACCCACCCCAGAATTCCACTCTTTGCAGAGCAACAAAGGGCCATACAACTTTGTTTGAACATCCAAGCAAAAGACTATAGGTGCGTTTAGAAATGTTTTCAAAACGTTTTTGTTTTTTGTATGAAAATGAAAACAAAAACGTTTTTATTTTCATTTTGAAATTATTTCTGAAAATGCGTTTGGTAGTTTTATTCAGAAATTGATTTCAGTTTTAAAAAAAATTGAAACCGCGTTTAGTGGTTTAAGTTTTGAAAACATATAATAATATATTAAATAATAATATATTAAATAAATATTATTATTAATATATATTAAATGAAC